TTCAAGTGCTGCTCTGTTGGGATTCACATTTGGCCACACGACCCACACAGTGAGGGCTTCCTCTTGGCCAGCGTATTCTCTCGCAGTTTGAACAACTCAGCTCTGTGTCTAAGCCAAGAAGTCTCATTGTGTCTGGGAAGGAGGTCCACGAAGATCCCCAATCTCCCGGCTGCCCTTCTTGGGGGGTGTCAGAGCAGGTCACTGCACCCAGTGTTGGGGCGATGCTGGCACACTGGCTGTAACACACACAGCAGCCAAGGAGCACAGGAGGGGAGGGTCGCGGTGCGCGCTGGAGCCAGCCTCGCTATCAACCACGGGGCACGGCAGGCCAATCACTTAACCCCTGTGGACCTCATTGCCCTTATCTCCAAATTGACGGGGTCAGACCGATGAAGTCAGGATCCCTGACAAACCAAGGGGGGAAATGCATGGAGCACAATTTCTTTTTTTCTTTTTTTTTAATCCTCACCCGAGGATATTTTTCCATTTTTTGTACAGATAGAGTGGGAGGGAGAGAGAGGAAGGGAGAGAGAGAGAGAGAAACATCGACGTGAAGGGACACATCGAGTGGCTGCCACCCGCACGACCAACCAGGGCCGGGGACAAACTGCAACCGAGGTACGTGCCCTTAGCGGGAACCGAACCCGGGTCTCTCCGGACCGCAGGCCGACGCTCTAACCGCTGAGCCAAACCGGCCAGGGCCACAATTTCATTCTTACAGAATGATCAATGAAATCCTGTTGATACATCCACGATTTCGTTTTCTTCTCTCAGGACAAAAGAATAGGGGACTGACAAGAACTAGCATTTCTTGAAACAGGACACACAGGGTGAAATGCACATGGATCTTTCTTCATCTGTGTCCGGACATCACATGTCCCTCCGTGGCCAGGGTCCCGGCTCCACACCGGGGTCTGCGTATCGAGCACAGGCGGGCACAGGAGACAGGCAGGGGCTGCCTCCCCAGGGCCGGGTCTGCTCCTGCTCCTGCAGCATTTCTAGATGCTACAGACGTGCGACGCGACCACCAATGAGACAGAGAGGCAAACAAATAAAATGTTTTAAAGGTCACCCGTTTGGAGATAAAAGAAGTACAAAAGATGTGTGTCCACTTAGAATCAGAGTCATCATCATGCTCAGGCTCCTCCTGCTGTCCCTACAGGGCAAAAATGAGCCAAACCACCTCCTCTTGCCCTCTATTTCTGCTCCTGCGGTGACCCCTCACCCCACTGTCAGGCAAGAGAGTCGGTGTGCAAAAGTGAATGTCAGAGTGTGAATAGCTCACAGGCTGACTAAGACTACTCCCTTAGTAACCACCCTCGACACTAATGAACAGGCTGGTATCCAAGATCAGTTTCTGGGAAGTGGGGGTGGGGTGCTGGTCTACAAGGCCAAAAATCATGGTTTCCATATGAGTTTCAGATTGGGCAGGAAAGCCCACTAACACCAGATAAAAGAAAGCACAGGAACACCCGTGATGGGCAACATTAAAGGGCTCGACTGTATTTTTCAATTTAACACCCTCTGGGTGACTGGGTCTGCCGCACTCCAAAACAGGGCTCTGGAAGCTGCCCTTAAGGAAGGGGGGGGGGGGTGCTCAGGCTGCCACTCCCTCCCCCCACGCTCAAGGCCAGTGTCAGAAACCAGAGCGAGGGCGCCCAGAATGCAGTCTCCACAACACACAGCAGGGGAGACAAAGCTGGGGGGTGGAGCTGAGAGAAAGCTGGCCGCTGACTGTCTTGCTGACCCAGTGAAATCTGAGGGTGGCCCGTCCCTGAAGGTCTCCTGGCTGAGGAGCTACAGGGTGTCAGAGACCAGATGCCCCTGGAAAACTGGGTCTGAGAATACAGACGTGCCCCTCCACCAGCACCCCAACCTGTTCTTCTCATGGTTTTCTGTCTTACGGTGCCAACCCCTTCTCATGTATCTATAGTGCCACCCCCTTTTAGGTGTCTTTTGTCATTATTTTGGAGAGCTTTGGCAGCGTTAGGTTTCACTGAACGCATCTGAATTTACAAAGAACAGTGTGACTGCCATGTCACACTTGGGACCCCATGGGCTGAGCTGGCCCGAGACAGGAAGCCTGCCCCAAGGCCCCGGTCCAGCTTTGGAAGCCCCTGTGGAAGGAAAGGAATCTGCCAATGACAGTGACCATCGGCACTGCTTCCGGACTAGCAGCACCGGCTGGTGCAGAGCGGAGGGTGGCCTGGCCGGGGGGTGGGGGGACACCCGAATGACGGAATACCATGTCCCACCAAGTGGGTAAGGATGGTTTCATTGCAACTGTCAGTAACAGGAGCAGAGTAACTCAGGGCTGAGAGATGTTTCTAAATAATAACAGGTACTATGAGTTGAACCTTAGCAGTGACTACTCTCAGGAACTGTATCAGCAATGAGTGAAACAGTGATCGTTGTCACAAGGAGCTGGACTGGGTCAAATAGCGAAGAGAGCGATATGGCAGCTTGGAAAGTGAGTTTGAGAAGGTCTGTAAAAAGATCCTTGCGGTGCGAGAACTCCAGATCTTGCATTCGTGAGAAACGGCTCATGATAAAAGTAAGGCGAAGCTTAGGAACAGAAGGGGGACAGGAGCTCAGGCACCAAGCGGAGACAGCCACGCTGAGAATTCAGCGCAGACCCGATCGGATCAGCTGATATTCCACTGGGGTCAGAAATACACCAGGGGGTCCGGACGTGAAGGAGTCACTGGGGAAAAGCACCAGATTCGCTGAGACTCCTGTTAGGGATTCCACACAAACTGCCCCTGGGTCGCTGTGGGGTGGGGCCTGGGAGGAGGCACTGAGCATGGCAAGGCCTGTGCTTGCAGCGGTGTTTATTTAATCCTCATCCAAGGGCATTTTTCCATTTTTTTGTTCAGATAGAGTGGGAGGGAGAGAGAGGAAGAGAGAGAGAGAGAGAGACATCAACGCGAAAGGGACACATCGAGTGGCTGCCACCCGCACAACCCAACCAGGGCCGGGGACAAACTGCAACCGAGATACGTGCCCTTAGCGGGAACCGAACCCGGGTCTCTCTGGACCGCAGGCTGATGCTCTAACCGCTGAGCCAAACCGGCCAGGGCTGCAGCAGTGTTTAATGAAGCCGTCTGACACGCGGGGCTGTGCCCACCGGTGATCTGTGTTAAGCACTGCTCCCTGGGATCCTGCATCGCTAAAAATACTATTTGCTTTTTATTTAACACTGGACTTTCAATGTTCTAGAATGCAAAAATAGTGTCTTATTATTTTTAAAAGCTTAGGAGGAAAAGTAGCCACATTATTAGAAAAAGAAGATATATGCAGCTAGAGTCTGTTCAAATATCAAGAGGTGTGACTTTTCGAATTCACATTTCAATCTTTATTTACATAAGACTTTTAGAAATAGTGGGTGTAAATATTAAATCACCCAAGCCTGGGTGAAATTTTATTGAAAATAACTACAAATAAAGAGAAACTGATTTTTTAAAGTCGGTTTCTAAAATTTAGATGAAAAAGAATATCAAGCATTAGCCAACAAATGATATATTTACATATCAATATAGGTTTTCTGTTCATAGACTCATTTCCCATGAAACAACAGAGGCAAGCTTGGGGAATTACAAAGGAAGGAAAAACCCTAATCAAATAGGTACTGTTGTTCAAACAGAATATTAGCCAAAATGATCCAATCAGTTGCTCGAGCCAAATTTTTTTCCCTTTAAGCCAGTCATTCCAGAGCACAGCCTCTGAGCGCTGAGACCCGCATTTCATTCCTAGTGCGAGCCCCGTGGATGGGGGTTTGACCCCCCACCCCCCACTGAAATGGGATGAGAAGGCAGCAGTAACGCACGGGGCCCAGAATGGGTCCCATTTCTCAGGGTAAACATTACTTCTTTGCATTGCAAGGTACGTTTGGCAATCACATGAGTCAACCAGAGTCAGTTGGAGCGCGCTCTTTGATTTCCCCACTGTGCGGAGACCACACAACCTGCGCAGACCTTCCTGAAGGCGGAGCGAGCACAGCTCCACGGAGCCAGAGGGACAGGGGCTTTGTCTTCATGCCTGTCTAATGACTTCCGATAGTCAGAGGTTCATGTGGGTGGCCACTAACACTTTCAGTTCTTCGTTTAAAACAAAAATCATTGCCTACCCCTGGAAAACACAGTAACTTGCAATGTCAAATGAAGATCTCTCTAATTTGTTGACTCAATCTTTTGCTTATCAAAAACAGCAATACGTTTCTCTAAAAATTTTTAGGGGGCAAAAGCAGAAATACACAGACACATACAGACATGTGCGCGCACGCGCGCACGCACACACACACACACACACACACACTCCTGGTTTCTTTGTGGAAATTAAACATAATTCTATTTTATTGCAATATTAAGATTCCAATTTTTAAATTGAAAACCCCCAAGAATTACAGAGGTTATCAAAGATATATTAACTTGTTCTTAGAATAAGCTCAAAATTAATAACAAAGGCATTATTATGCTAATGTGTACTTTATGATATTCCGCCTGACACAGGAGACTGGGAACCTGACCCTGGCCGTGTAAGACCCCCCCTTTACTTTGAATTAATGGTGTGAAGACTGCATTTCATCTAAAATCTGTGGTTTACGGGAAGTTTATGGAAACACGAAAGAAAAGCTTATCAGAGATAAGAAAAAACAACACTGATTCCTATTTGGATAATTAAATGAGGGTAGGTCGTTTCTCCCAGATGTCCTCAAAAGATCTGCGTTCATCATATCCGGTGGCCTGTCCCCTTCCCTGAACCCTGCTTTGAAAAAGAATTTTAAATGTATTTGCAATTTCTATTTCCAACTCGAAGCTGGAGACAAATTAGTTTGCACCCCAGTAGAATGCTAGGAAAAGCTTAAATCAATCTGCACCTTTTTATTTACATCCCTCATTCCTTAGAAGCGTAATTGCCATTTTTATTAACTTTGTTTTATGGCTCTAATATTTAAGAACAAGCCTACCCTCTATGTGACACAAGAAGGTGAATACACTTACAGACTCCCCTGCAATACATCTCGGGCAGGGCTGGGCAGGGCTCCTTCCACCGTTCGGAGGGATCTATTTAACAAATCACAGCCGCAGACGTATCAGAACAACGGTTATTTACACTTTTTATTAAAATATTTAAATGGGTTCCTGGCTGGTGTGGCAGGAACGGGAACCTACCCTCGCATTTGGTGGCCCCTGGCCGCTGTCTGGCCTCGGGGCAGGACGGTGGCCTCCAGGTGGCACCTCCGGCTCCTTGCTGCCCCAGGACACCCGGGCGCTGGCCTTCACCTGGGGGCAGCCCGGCTCCTGCACGGCCACTTCTAAGCTCCTGCACACCCGCTTCTGAAACAACACATTTCATTTGCGACGGCTTCATAAAGCACGCAACACTCTAATTAAATTTGCCTTCTGAAAACTTCAGCTGCAAGTACAGACCCCTGTGGAGCTGGGAAAGTTTATAGGACATTTGAGGAGATGCCTTTAAACTTTATCTTCAGGAATAACCACCATCAATTACACTTAACCTCATTATTTCCGGAATTGTCTGATATTTACTTAGTTTTACAGATTTAAAAGAGTCATTTTAACAATTTGAGCAGAAACTCTTGTAATAAACTACTGTGACTGGTTTATTGATATTGAAAATGTACAAAACCTATAAATTTTGTTCAAGAAACTAGTTCTATGCTTCAACACATTCTACCTAGTATTTATTCAGTGATACACTTTCTCAGTACAACAGGAAAAATCCACATATGAATAATTCTTTCTCTTATGGACACTGAAGACCAAATTAATTTCATTTCAAAAGTTGCACACACAGTCTATAACTGATCATCTTTGGGAAAGTTTGTGTTTGGTCTCTGCTTCCTCTTGAACTAAGGATAAGTTACCAAAGCTAAAGAAAAAGGTATTCGCTCTCAAAGTGCCAAGACTGTGTATTGTGAGGGTAACACTGTTTTCACGGACACAGAGCTGGATGTCCGTGCAGTGCCCAGCCCCAGCCCCAGCCCCAGCCCAGCTCAGCCCAACCCAGCCCAGCCCCAGCCCAGCCCAGCCCAGCCCCAGCCCCAGCCCAGCCCCAGCCCCAGCCCAGCCCCAGCCCCAGCCCAGCCCAGCCCCAGCCCAGCTCAGCCCAGCCCAGCCCCAGCCCAGCCCAGCCTCTGCCCCAGCCCCAGCTCCTGCCCCTGCCCCTGCCCCAGTCCCAGCTCCTGCCCCAGCCCCAGCTCCTGCCCCAGCCCCAGCCCCAGCCCCAGCCCCTGCCCCTGCCCCTGCCCCAGCCCCTGCCCCAGCCCCTGCCCCTGCCCCAGCAGTGTCTCTGGATCCCTGGGCCACCTGTGGGCCTGCTGCTGGAGCTCTAACCTGTGACACCGCGGCTACAACTTCTTCAGTCACTTGCAAATTATCATCATGATTTGCGCCAAATTGGTTTTTATCTGTACTGTTATTCATTTAATATTTTCTAAACTGATACCTTTGTATTTAATGGATTATTCAATATAGAAACTTTATATGATAGGTTTCGGCTGCTAGTTCTACTGTTCTCTAACCTGCCTTAAAACAGATACTTAGAGATTAAAATGAAAAATGTTGAACTCGGCGCCCCGAAGCCACTTGGAATAATGTGTTGGGATAAGCGCTTGACCTCCAGGTGACAAAAGACAAGGGCCACCATATAGTCACCGACCTCCTATAGTTCTTCCCAAATGACAGGAAACTGAAGACGGAGATACTCTCGAAGTTCTACACCAAACCACACCCTGAGCAACACTTAAAGACAGAGCGTGACAAAACCTGGAAATAAGGCTAGTAAAAAGAGAAACACTTGCCCAGTCAGTGTGGCTCAGTGGTTGAGTGTCCACCCATGCACCAAGAGGTCCCCAGTTCGATACCTGGTCAGGGCACATGCGCAGGTTGTGGGTCAGATGCCCAGTGGGGGGCATGCAGGAGGTGGCCAATCGATGTTCTCTCTCATCGATGTTTCTCTCTCTCTCTCCCCACCTCTCTAAAGTCAATAAAGAAAAAAAAAAAACTGCCACCAAATCCAAGCGTGGGTCCCAGGGCTCCTAACCCACACCACTGATGCGGGCTCTGTGATGAGAAAGGACAGAAGAAAAAATGACCACAGGGGTGAGAGCCATCTACATGGCCCCAGCACGTCCACTGCCAACATGAAAAGGCTATGACGGTACCTGTGTGGACCAGAGCACACAACTCAAAGGAAGAGACCTCATTTAAAGAGGCATCCTGCAAAACTCACGGCGTCTGGGGAAGAAACGGGAAGAGAGGAAGGGGGCAGTGCCCCTTGGCACCTGGGTGGGGAAGATAAAGAGAAAAAAAGAGGGAAAGTTTCCGGTCCTCCAAGTAAAGAGGTCCATAACATCAGGGGGCTCGTGCCCTCCCTCAGACACAGACACATGCGTGTGCACATGCACACGCACACACACATGCAACGGCTGCAGGGCCTGGACCATCAGACTAGCTAGAAACACCAACGCCCTAGAAACTCCCTCCTCAGAAACAACCATGAACCAAAAGAAAACTGTAGATCAGTCCTTAAAAACATAACTACACATATTCAGACAAATATTTGAGGATATGAAGATCACTTTGCATTAATAATGTAGAATGAAAAGCAGAAAGGGACAAAAACAGGGAGAAAGGAAGAAAGAGATGAATGAATTCAGGAAAGTAGTGGAAGGAGAAACAAGATTATGTCAGAAAGGAAGAATAAACTATAAAGTGCCCAAGGAGACTACATTGAGATGAAAATTAATAAAGGGCACGGGGGCAAGACAGGAGTACAACCAAGAGAATGAACGTGACATAAAAAAGGGTAAGGGAGGTCAAATACATGTTCAGGAAGAAAGACAGACTTTGGGGGGTGAGCGCAAATTACGGTGTACAGATGTATTACAAAGTCGGACGCCTGAAATTTATACTTACTAGCCAGTGTTATCCCAATAAATTTAATTAAAAAAAAAAGAGGCATGATGTGTTAAAACTGGTTAACTGTCAGCTTTCACTACCCTGTGTTAGAGGGAAACAGGGGAAATACTACATGTGCCCCATGCCATTTTATACATAGGCTTAGCCCTTCCCATAGTGACATCAGTCAGCTGTGAGCCAGGGATGGGGGATAGGAGGCAGAGGCCACTGTCTCGATGACATAGACAGCATTCTGGGACGACATCCGGAACCATTTCTAGAGGGGAGTGGGGGTCACAGAACAACTGGCACATTAAGGTCAACAGACGTGTGATTATCCATGGTGACAAGCCGACGTTCTTCGAGTGGCTCAGGTGGTCGGGGAGGTCAGGTCCCCACCTCCTGTGGTAGGCGAAAAGAGGATCCACGCCGATTCCAAGGTGCTGGATGAACGCTGGGCTCCCCAGGGAACGGGGGGATCGCCAGCTTGGCGGCCCTGGGTCAGCTGAGTGGATTAAATTATTCATGTTCCCTGCTACTTACCGCAGAGCCTGACCCGCACGCTTCCTGGGCAAACAGTCCGACTGGCTGGACCAGTGAGCACGGCTGCCGGCCTTCGCTCCGGGATGCCCGTGCCCCACGGCCCCCTCCTGCTCCTCCCGCTGCGGAGGCTCTGCCAGCCTTCATCAGGCAGGCGGAGATTTACCGCCCGACGATAAAGACACTCGCGCTGTCTAAACAGAATTAAAACCCGAGTCCACAAAGACCCCATCACTTAACAATAACGGAAGGAGAGCAACTGAACAGCAGCCTCGCCAGAGAACAACTGAACAGGAACATGACTAAGAGATGACACTTGATAAGATACATAGATTAAAATATAAAATATGTATCTTGTTGCCTCAATGATGAAACAAAGTAAGCAGGTCTGGGAAAGACAAGCTGCCCTGGCTGAGGAGCTGGGTCACACCTTGGTGGCCAGGGACCTGCTCCTTCACTGGAAGTGTGGAGCCCAGCGAGCTGGATGAGGGGGGCGCAGAGGGAGGGGTGTTAACGGCTTCACAATTCGGCAGAAATGAAATTCAAAAACCTCGGCTTCCATGCTGGTGAGTGGCCCTTGTAGCAACCAGACTGGGGGTGCTTTCCCTACTGCCTGGGGGCACTGGGCAGCCAATGAACAGAACAGGAATGAGGACACAGAGCACAGGCCGGTGCCAGCCGTGCCGTGGAGGAACCTGGCAGGCTGCCAACTCCAGAAACCCACTTCTCCACTCGACACTACAGGAGAAGGTAGAGAATGAAGGAAAGAGACACCAACTTCCTTGAACACTTTGACAGAAAAGCAGTGTATTCTCTTCGATCAGCACAGCAAGAGAATGCCATGTTCTTAAAAATTAAACACCCTGAATTAAACATACATAATATATATGCTAATATATAAGTGAAGCATATACACCATGAATTAGAATACCAAGGTAAGTCATTAGAACTCAGCAATGAAATTAATGGTAAGTCTCTCTCTCCACACACACACACACACACACACACACACACACACACACACACACATTTAATCTTTCACTCTGAAGGTATTTTGAGAATTTTTACTGACTAATGTCCTTTATTCATTTGCATTATAAATGTGTAATGCTGGTTAGCTGAGTCCTCCTTACGAGAAACAGTTTGCTGAGTGAGGTTTTTCAGTTGAGTTTGGTTTTAATTCTACTTAGTAAAGAAAGTTTACTTTTGCTGATAGGAGTAGCTGATACGGACGTCCATCAGCCCTGCATACGGAACAGTTAATGCTGATGAGAAAGATTAATAAGGCCCTACAGACTGCCATTTAGAAAGAGAGCATGGTTTCCATCAAGCCGAGATTCCTCCTCGATGACACTTTCATTTGGAAAATGACCTTGTACTCGGGAGGTTCGCTCTACAACACAGTGAAATCGGGCACAATATCAGCTACAGAGAAGATCGGAAATGAGGACCCCTGCCATCAACTCCCATGTCATCAGGGCACAGAGGACTTCAACCGAATGGATCGGAACATCTCGATGCTGTGCTTTATCCATCCGTGCCATGTCTTACGACTCCCCGGCTCCCTGTGCACAGCCGCACGCGACCACTCCACCTTGGCCAGGAGAAGGCAACTATGAGGAGACAAGCAAGGTGGGCCAGTGGTTAGAAGTCAGAATGCCAACTTAATTCTCTGAGAGCTAGTTATCTAGAAGACAGCAGAGAAGAGCAAAGAAAAACCATTTTTATTTCTAATTAAAGTAAAAAGACATAAAGGTACACACTAGACTTATTGGCAAGTCATTCTAAGCTTGCAATATTTACCAAGTACACTAGAAAGCTCCGTGATATTCCTGATTAAAATGAAGAATCCCAAGGGAAGTGGGTATGCAAAT